GGTCGTCGGCTCACGTTTCGCTTTGTAACGCAGGGGGTCCGACTCCATGTTCTTGATGTTGTCAACGTTGGCGTTCGACCCTCGCGTTTTCGATGTCTGTAACGCGGATCGACTCCAGGTTTGATGTCCGGTAACGTGGGTTCGACCCTCGGGTGTTTGAGTTTTGATAACGTGGGTTCGACCCTCGTGCGTTTTGACTGCGGCCTGTTAAAACGGAGGGGACACTCGCGGGCTCCAGCGTTTTGATGTTGTAACGCGACTCGACCTCGGCGTTTGATGTGGCTGTAACGTGGGTTCGACGCCCTGGCCGGGGTCCCCCCCCCCTAGTCGAATTTGCGCGATGTTGTAACGAGATCGACCCCGGGCGGTTTTGAGTTGACACACGGGGGCAGGAGACCTTCGCGTCTTGTCTGATTGAACAGAGAGTTAGTCACAAAGTAGAGGCTCTGCCCAAGCAAGAATCGATTATCTGTAATCTTCGTCTGTCGGGCTCCTTCGGAGAATATGAGAGTCGTCAGATTGTAACTCCGATAATGATGTAAATGCTGGGTGAACTGAGCTCTCAGTCGCGTTGCTCTGTGGGAGAGGCAAGACGTCGGTCAGATTATAACCTTCCAGCGATCTACATGAAAGTCCTTCAAATTCTAGCATTTCTGGAAGGGTCGGTCAGATTGTCTAACTTCCGATCATCGGTCTGTTTGGATGCGAGGATAAGCTAATTCGTATCTATGATTTTTAGACAGCACTACGAGGAAGAATATAAAGGAGATTGTAGAATCCTAGGTTAAGGAGGAAGTATGAGTGCGGCGGGGGCCCAGTTTGAGAGAGTTTTAAAGGAAATCAACTTAGGGGGTTTTTTGAAATTCACACAAAAAGCTCCCAGACCAACCCGCCTCTCTCTCCCTTACTACATGCGAGACACCTTCTTGGTGTTCTCTCTGCACGCAGACACGGTAGGCGCGGTGACTTGCATGTGGTGCTGAGCACACCAACAGTGGTGTCTCGCCACCAGGGGGTCCCGCGGTTCGAACAGGAGGAGTTTCGAGTGATGTTTCTTCCCGTTTGATTATTAGAGGTACGGTATTCATACTCGGGAGTATACGAGTCAATAAACTGTATCTCTGTTGCAACCTCCGGAACAGCGTATATGAGGTTAAACTTATATTCCGAACTACCGGATGAGCTCTCGGCTAATTAAAGCTGATTCTCTACGTCTCAACGTCCTTAAGAGGCTTAACTGTGCAAACTCTATTAACGCGACGGAGTATAAACTGTGGTGTAGGCATCACGATGAATGATAGTAACATCGCGTCAACCGCGTCCACAACGGAGGCGCCGTTTAACGCGATCAGATGCCTGTTAACAAAATTCGCCAAAATAAGGCTGTAGGAGAAGCCAAGGTCAAAATTAACACCTGGGACGTTCAATCCGCGCGATCACCAGATACAAATGCTAGCGACGAAAGATAACCACTTCAATGTCGCTTTCAACGACTGCCAAGCTAATTCAGGTATCAAACGCTACCAGTTTCAGTCTTCCAAGATTTCGCAACGGTTAACGATAAACGTCCTGCGAGCCACCGGGCGCAAGAATTTTAGACTTATTCAACAAAATACTGAATAGACTGAAAGGCTGAAGATTTAAGAACTGATAAGGCTGAATTTATCTTATCAAAGTATGTCCAGACTCGAATAATAAATATTGAGGACGGGCTAAAAAACGTTAGAGAGGGTATCTGTAGGCGTCCAAAAATTGCCTAATAGGTTCCCGTACACAGCTCGAGATGAAGACGGAGACGACTAACGCCATTATCAATCAAGAACACATCCTAAAGGAAGCAAAAGAACACACGAATCGACGAACCAAACGAAGCATGCAAATCAACAAAAACGGTGCAAATGGACAGCCAGAATGCTGGTCCTCGCATGCAAGCACCCATTAAAGTGCTTCGCAGCTGGAGACACCAACAAGGCTGTCTCGCCCACACATCGTGCCGCAGACACAAATTTTTATGTCGGGGCGTGCCGGCGGTGTCTCGCACCCAGTCAGCCTCCCGCCGAAGCGTATTTCGATAGATTTTTAGGGATTTCGTGCGGTTCCCGTGCTTCCTAAAACTGCCTTGGCGTTATCTCTTAAATGTGGGAAAAACCGTTATTAACTGAACGATATTGATCAAATCACGATATCATTATCCACAAACACAACGTTGAAGCCTATAAATACCCCCCTTCGTGCATTTGTGACGGCGGCGCGTAATCTAGAATTTTGGCTTGAAGGCAAGTTGCCTGACGGTTTGAGGGCCAGACCACGAATTTTTCATGACAAGAGAGGCGCAGATCTTGGCCCGAATTCCTGCCTCACAAAGCAGAGGATTTCGAGAGATCCGCAAGCTTTTCTCCATTCCCTGAGAGCGGACCTTTGATTTTAGAATCTTGCAAGAAGCAGAAGTAATTTCTCCACTTTGTTGAGGTTATTCACTTATGTTCTCAAGTTTTCTCGATTGAAACAAAGAACACTGAGCCTTCTTTCAGATCAACCCGGGATCTATTATTCCGGCTGGTCCACAGATCAAAGGATCCTCGACACAGCCCAAGATCCACGCCAAGTAGCGACGATAAGCGATCTCTGCGTGTGGTTTCTAGCGAAGTCTTCGTGTGTATTCTTTTGTGTAGAGAAGTCTTATAAAATAGGCTTACTATCTCTGTGATATCGTATTGTAATCGAAATCAAACGGCACTTGTATGGGTTCCCACTAAGCAAAGCTGGAATTTCCGACGCAAGACACACACTTCTATAGTTGATTTAAGCCTAGTGCCCTTCATGATATGTGGTTTCTGCATGTCTTCAGCTCAAGGTCTCACTATAGTACAAGTTTTATTAAAGAAACGTAGTCCCAGCAATAGCGTCTGTATTTTGTGTAGCTTAAAGCATGATTA